CATGTACAGAATTGACCTCTCTATAGATTTATTATAAGTATAGATACACAATCGGGATTTAACGCACGAACGAAATGTAAAAATCTTTGCAAGTAAACAGTACCTACATACCTGCTTCTTTATTGCCAATGTTTCGGGCTGGATTTCACCATAGACACTTCAGTTAGTGCTTTTACATCGTATTAAATCCGGATTGTGTAATTAAAATATAAATTAAGCCGTCAAAAAGAATCATTTAAATCCATTGCTCGTTGCCTATACAAATATATGGCATATATAACATACGAAAAGTTTAATCAAATTGTAAAGCACCATTTATAAGCGAGTTAAAAATATCTAACAACACAACAATAGGTGCACGTTAAACAAAACATCAGGCCGGCCATCAAATAAAGTCCCCGTATTCCGGGTTACCCGGCCCGGATAATTTGTATTCGCACCACATAGCAACCGTCTGCGTTGATCCGGCCGCGCCCTTGTCGTTCCCGTGTCAGTCTGTGGTCGCCCACATTTTTTTCTTTTTGTCGCTCCACTCTTAATTAGTTCCATCTTTGATGTGTAAATCTATGACGTTCATTGTAAATGAATAGATATCTATTTATTTATTTGTTTATTTATTTATTTACACTTTATTGCATAATTTTTTTATGCGTCTTAGAATGGCAAACAAGCTGACGGTGCATTTGATGGAAAGTGATAACCGTTGCCTATAGACATGAGCTGTATCGTGAACATAACAGAGTATACTGTTACGCCCATGATAGCTTCCATACGTTGTCATTCGCGAGGACTCAGGTGTAATGCCTCTGTACTCTGTAAATTCACTGCTTTAAATTATAAAAATTAATATCGTTTATAAAAATAGAAAATGCAGTTAATTTTAATGGGAAGTGATTTACGAGGCGGTCTTATTGTTAAGCATAGTCTTCCAAATAACCTTTGGATAGAGGACTTTGAGAAAAAAGACGAAGGATAGGTGGTGCACAATCAAATAGATATTAATAACATACACAGGGGGGAAAGGGATTGTTAGTTATGGAGACTGAGAATCCCATTGCTAGCAATATACCCAACCAGGTCTAACATATGAAGGGTATCATGGACGGCACAGTCTGTCGATTACCACTTTCCATTAGTTGGACCGTCAGCTTGTTTGCCATTGTAAGACGCATAAAAAAATAATGCAATAAAGTGTAAATAAATAAATATCTATTCAATTACAATATACGTCATAGATTTACACATCAAAGATGGAACTAATTAAGAGTGGAGGGACAAAAAGAATGCCATTCTAGTTGCTTAAAAATACCTTAGTCTTTAGGAATAGCAAAGGGTAAGGTGTACCAAAGAGATGGCAGTATACTCTAAGATATACATGGTACGTCTGTAGGTTCCAATTATTGTTCCCACATCTTCGACTTGACGGTTTGTGTCAATTTTCAATCGATTTTCAAAAGAAGAAAGTTCTTGATTCGATTGTATTTTTTTGTATATGTTTGTTGCCTCATAACTCCGTCAGTTGTAAACCGATTTGAAAAATTCTTTTTTTTACCTGGAAGGTTACACTTACAGATTACCTAAACCCATAGAAATTTTATCTTAATCCATTCAGTAGTTTAATTTTTAGATCAAAATAACTGGTTTTGCCATAATTAAAGTCTCTTTTTTATGGGATGCAATCTTTAATTATTGAATTTACACTTACACAGTTAAAATTCGTTTAAACTATAAATTATGAAAATTGCACGTCGTAAATGTTTTTTGAAATGTTGTTGGTCCCTATCAACTCGATTACCAAATTACAGGTGAAAATTACATGTAATTGTGCCACGAAATTGTACTTCAACAAAGTCTGTTCAAAATTCAATCTTAGTACTATTTGATAGAGTATATTTCTCTATAGTAGATATATTGACGAATAAGTATATATTTTGCGCGCCAATTTATAGTCGTTTGATAAAATTGTTGTTACAAATATAGAATGAAGTGTTACGTTATTAAACCTACTAGGTATTTACGTATACACTGCTGCCTGTGACTTTCTGTACAATATTAATAAAATATTTTTAATCTGTACATCATACACGATATCTTTGCTAATTATAAATCGGTTATAATATTTTTTTTATGGTAAAATTATTGAATTACTGGTAAAACTCAAGATTGACCAATGTGCGGGCTCTTACAGTAACATATATAATATATCATTATGAACTTTGGTATGGTCTAAAATCAGTTGCTATATGGGATGGAAAAGGATCGGAATAGCTTACTTTTTATCCTGGTCATTGAACATAGCCCGGTCACGAGGACAAAATTGGGGTAAAAGTATAAGCATGTCATATATATATATATATATATATATATATATATATATATATATATATGTCAATACATATATATATATATATATATATATATATATATATATATATATATATATATATATATTGACATGACATGTTTTATGTGTATGTTTTTTTTTATTGTAATTTGTGTGCTGTAAGTAATTTAAATAAATTATATATCTATCTATCTATATATGATGCAACAAAAGATACAATATCCAGAGATTTTACTCGTATTGTTAACATAGACGATTTTCCCCAACCAGTGGTTGAATTCCAATTATCGAAAGTTTGTTAACAATGTCTAGTTATACTAGGAGAGATACTATTTTCTATTGTTTCAAAATTGGAAATTGTGAGCTAAATAGCTCTACTTGCTACGTTACTCCTGTGATTGGATCATATTGATTGGACGATATCGAAGTAAAGTACGTTATCTTTCATACCAATTATTTTTTTTTTTTTACAACACAGGGGGCAAACGAGCATGCGGCTCACCTGATGGTAAGTGACTACCGCCGCCCATGGTCACCCACAACACCTACGGCATTGCAGGTGTGCTGCCGGCCTTTTAAAAAGGAATATGCTCTTTTCCTGAAGGTTATGTTGTCGTATCGGTTCGGAAATACTGCTGCTGGAAGTTGATTCCAAAGAGTGGTTGTACGTGGGAGAAAGTGCCTTGAAAAACGCACGGTGGAGGACCGCCACTCGTCCAGATGGTTGGGATGAAATTTTAGTTTATGGCGGGTTGTACGATGGTGAAAATCTGCAGCAGGTATCAATCCGAACAATTCTTCAGAGCACTCCCCATGATAAATTCGGTAGAAGATGCACAGAGATGCAACATCTCTACGCAGCTTCAGTGGGTCGAGCCGGACAGTAAGACGCCGATCGTCAACAATTCGAGCTGCCCGACTTTGTATGCGGTCTAACGGAAGGAGTTGGTACTGTGGCGCTCCTGCCCACAGGTGAGAACAGTATTCCATGTGTGGCCTCACTTGAGCTTTATACAGTTTTAGGCGGTTTTCTGGCGTGAAATACCGTCTCACCCTATTGAGCACCCCCAACTTTTTGGAAGCTATCTTAGCTTTTTCCTCCAGATGACCGCAAAACTGGACGTCGCTAGATATATCGACGCCAAGAATCCCCAGACTCGACTTATTATCAAGGGAAGTGCCCCGAAAGTGAGAAGATACGACAAACGGTGTCTTTTTTGCGGTGAACGCGCAGACTTGCGCATTATATGAAACAACAAAAAGTTATTAATATACCAAAACAAATAACTCAGTTTGGCAATGTTAATTGTTTACGTGTAGCAAATGACAGAACTATAAAAAAATATAAAAATATTGAGAACAGGCGGTTCTCAGAAGGAACTCTCAGAAGTTCTTTGCAAAAGGCAATAAAAATAAGTTGACTAGTGGTGACCAGAAGTGACCAACATGGAATCTACACGAAAATGAAAGCATCTTCATGCATCAATAGACTGTTAATGAGATACATACTAGGACCAAAAAGTTTGGCACCTCCTACCTCTGTCGCACCATCAAGTAATGAATTCTCTTCTGAGATCTGTATTTCTTGTCAAGTATAACTTGGATACCTTCAAGAGAGGTTTAAAAAAAGTGTTTATATATGCCGACATAGTGTGGGCCGCAGGTTAGATGCAATCATGCTTTGGACCTACGGCCCACGCAGATAGATTTCATAATCACTTACCATCAAGCGACTAAAGAGTGGCGTGTCATGCTAGTATAGAAAAAAAAGGCAATACCTCCTGTTTAATAATTCCTGTTTTTCATTTCTAGATAAATATTACATATTGTCGTGTAATCCTAGCATAAAATGGGCCACCCCTGCCTTTTCCATGAGTATCGTAAGAAAACTAAGGGCGACTAAGGGAACTTTTAAGTTTCCTTAGTCGCCTCTTACGCCTTAGACGCCTTATAAATAGCATCAACAGCAACATCCCTCTTAAAATATCATTAAAAGCCTAATGTGGTTGCCAACCTGCCTGTCAAGCATGGGAACTACTGACAATACAGGAAGTATATTGCTGAATATAGGCGAGGCCTATATTCAGCAACAAACAACTGACAGCTGATATGAATGAATGAATTACAAATTCAGATAGAAAGTAATAAGTGAAGTTAAATTAATGTCATAATTTCAATGTAAGCGAATGATATTAATCCATTTGCAAGGTGTGGGCTTGGCTTGCAGTCTTCATTGTTTTTGGCCAAACAAACTCATTCTCATCTTATTTATTTGCATTACATTATTCACCATTTCATCAACATTACATCCATTATCCGTCCATTCCTGGATATAGGCCTCTCCCATAGACTGCCATAAGGAACGGTCCTGAGCTACCTACATCCACTGACTATCTGCAATGCATTTGAGTTCGTCATTCCATCTAGCCTCCTAGGCTGTCCTACACTGTGTTTGCCAGTTGCCAGTCGCTACTCAAGAATCTTTCTTTCCCATTGATTGTCGGTTCTTCGAAATATATGACCAGCCCATTGCCACTTCAGCTTGCTTACCTTCGAGCTATGTTGGTTACTTTAGTTCTTTTACGAATATCCTCGTTTCGGCCTTAACTATAGCAATTTAATAACTAATAATAAATATACTTTTCTCTCTTTCCAGGTAAACATTACAGACTCAGTGGCAAGTGACAAGTGCAGTGAGAGTGCTAGTGTTGTAATCTCAATGTGAGCGAGCGATGGCGCGGGCGGTCCCGAGGCGCGGCGCCGTGTGGGCCTGGCTCGCAGTCCTCGCAGCCTTAGGCCACTCCACGGCGTATACTGAAACCGACGATTTCCTCAGCGATTTGGATAAACCAGGTGAGTTTTACCGTTTACAATTTAACTAAAATACTTATATTTTAAGTACCATATTTATACTTTTAATAATTAAAAGTTACAGTCTTTTAAACACTACTCGTATTACCTTTTACGTTTTTTTTTATACAACTAAGAATGGCAAACACGCTGACGGCCCACCTGATGGAAAGTGGTAACCGTCGTCCATTCTGATAAAGGCTGATATGTCAATAATTATGATTCTGATTTCAACTTGCTTACTTAGATTTTAACTATTAGAAATATTAACTATTAGAACTTGGTGACTTAGATATTGTCGTAAGAAGTGTCGTAAGAAATGTCGTTGTAGTAAATGTACGAAAAAACATATATAGGATTATAATTGCACCTTAATTACTGAAACAATTATATGAATTAATACATTTCTTAATCTTGATAAATAGGTTTGTTTATAATCCAACTAAAACGATATTTAATCTTATTGATTACGAACTTAAGATCGATTGAATAAAATCGATCTTACCAAATCGCTCACATCACTAGCCGCCTACACTTTGAAGTTTGATTGATCACTAGTGTTGTAGCATTACCGTGGCACAATATTTTGAGTTGTTAAAACCGGATTTAATCAGATAATCAGTTATCTACATTTTTAGCTTGTTAATCAATACTGTCCCTTACTATTTACGCGTTAAGGCATATATGGTGTAATTATGTAAGTACAAATTAAAAAGCAATTTGGCTTAGCGAAACAGTGACAACGATAATCATTTGTGACACGAACACATCTAGTAATAAAATAAATATTAAAAAAAAAAACATGGCCGACAACATGAATTTCGAAATAATTACTTTAAGTTATCTATATTTTCATTAAAAAAACATAGTCAAAAAGATCTAACAGCTATAAAATAGCTATAAAATTCATCAAAAGAAAAATACCATTTACGTCAAACAAGGCTGTATGAGCTTTGTTCTCTTTGCCTATACTGCAATAGATTTTTTTTTATATACAACTTAGAATGGCAAACAAGCTGACGGTCCACCTGATGGAAAGTGGTAACCGTCGCCTATAGACATGAGCAGTAGCATGGACATAACAGAGTATACTGTTTCGCTCACGATACCCTCCATGCGGTGCCATTCCTGAGGACTCGAGTGTTATTCCTCTGTACCCTGTAAATTTACGCCATATTTCACCCTTCAAACCGAAACACAGCCATGCAAACACAACTGTTTCACGGTAAAAACACGAATGGGACAGAGGTACCCAAGCAAACGACTTTTGTACAAAGTCTCCCTCTGGTAAAATAATAGTAGTAATAATAAGATTAAAATTACCGTCAGATAACAAATGACATTAAAAAATACCATTAAAAAGCCATGTAACATTCGTTAACACCCTAAATTAGACTACCGTTGATGATTATGTATACTCGTACCAAAGGTCAAATAATGACTTCGCCCTCAAATGACCTTTTCCATTATTAAGAGAAAATTTTAATATAAGAAAAAAAAAAAACAAGTTACTATCTTTTCCCCTTTTACTTACATTTACAATAACAAAAGAAAATTTAAAATAAACACAAAACCCGACCGAGATGGAATGTCATCGGGTAAAAATGGAGGTATAAGGACGCCATTGTTCAATTTTAACATTCTTTATAATTATTTCATTATTTCATTAATTATTATACAGTAGCTGTGTCCCGTGGCTTTGTTTGAGTAAATACGTTAACCTTTATTCTTACTAATAGTGTAAATGTTAAAGTGTGTTTGTTTAACAGTTTAACCAATAGTTACAAAGGGGGGAAGGGATTGTTAATAATGGGGAGGTTGTTCCCCATTGCTACCAATATACCCTATCAGGTCGACCTCCACACGGTTCCCCCTGGAAACCATCTTGACTAATTTATCGTTGAATTCGTCACGATGGGCTAACCGACCTGCCTTATCATCCTCACTAATCATCCCTCACTGGTGCCCCGCCAGTGTATACCGATAGCGCAGGCGGGGTTACCATTCCATCATCATCCATTAAAAAAAAACCAATAGTTACAATACATACACGTACTTTTTTAATGGATGAGAATGGAATGGTAGCCCCGCCTGCACTATCGGTATACACTGGCGGGGCACCAGTGAGGTATGATTGGTGAGGATGGAAGCAGCTCAGTTAGCCCTTTGTCACGAATTCAACGCTAAATTAGGCAAGATGGTTTCCAGGGGGAACCGCGTGGAGGTCTACCTGATGGGGTATATTGATAGCATTAGGGACTAACTTCCCCATTAATAACAGTCCCTTCCCCTCTATATATTATTATACAAATTGGTTTTATTCGCATACCTTTTACAACTCTTTAGTACCTCCTAAGCATATACCTCCCTTTCTTTCCCGTGGGTGTCGTGAGAGGCAACTAAGGGATCTTAATAGTCGAGGGATGGGCAATAGCGTCCGTCTTAAGACATCACTAAAAGCTAAACTGCGTTCGCCAACCCGCCTGATAAGCGTGGCTACCTACTATTGGCAAAATCCTTCTAACGTGGGGGGAAAGGGAAAGGGATTGTTAGTAATGGAGACTGAGAATCCTATTGCTAGCAATATACCTAACCAGGCCGACCTCCTCGTAGTTCCCCCTGGAAACTATCATGGTTAATTCCTGATGAATTCATCATGATGGACTAACTGACCTGTTTTCATTCTCATCGATCACCCTTCACTGGTGCTCCGCCAGAGTACCCTGTTAGGGCAGGCGGGGTTACAATTCCATTTTCATCCACCAAAAAAAAAATCCTTCCAACTACAAACTGCCATAAGAAACTGCCCGTTGCTTGTGACAATCTATGGCGGATGCCTATGTTCATTAGTGAACAAATAACAGGCGATTTGATAATGATGACGAAGTATTTACTGATATCACAGACGGGTTTGACCTTCCATGTATATGAAATTTAAATTTATACATATATATGCGCATACATGCACAAGCACGTGCACATGCACACATGCGGCCACAGACACACACACATACACGCACGCGCGCACGCATGCACGCACGCACGCACGTCCGCACGCACGCACTCACGTACGACGCACGCACGCACTCCCGTACGCACGTTCTCACGCACGCATGCATGCAAGCACGCACGCACGCACGCACGCACGCGCTCTAGCACGCACGCACGCATGCACGCATGCACGCTCGTACGCACGCACGCACGCACGCACGCACGCACGCACGCACGCACGCACGCACACACACACACACACACACACAAAAACGCGCGCGCACACGAATAAGTAGAAAGAGAGGGAAAGAAATCGTCGAATTAAGATCATACTTTTTTAAAGTCATAAAAACTATCTACACAACCAATAGTAATGATAAATGTCTACCATCGAACAAAACGAACGCTTCCAAATAACTTTAAAACAAATGCAATCTAAACTGTATCTTTTTTCAAACAATATCCTTATTACTATTCATGAACTTATTAAACATGGCTGTATTAAAAAATATATGTCGGGAATGTAAAAAAAACGAAGCAATGCATTAAATTATCAAGGAACACGATCGTAGATGGAACAACAATAATTATAATGAGTTATGTCCATTTTAACACAGTAAGTTATTATTTGTGGGGTTTAGCCTCAAGGGTTGGCGCGCATTATGGAACTTCATATTATTTGTTTAAATATTAGTTATATCTCGCGATTTTGCTTGCGAAAGTTAGGATCATTATTACATTAATCGTTAACTGTCCACTTCTAAACAAAAGCCTTCTCCATAGATAAATATATAATTTTTTTTAATGGGTGATAATGGAATGGTATCCCCACCCGCGCTGTCGATATACATCGGCGGGGCACGAGTGAAGAATGATAGATGAGGATGAAGCAGGTCAGTAAGCCCATCGTGACGAATTCAACAAGAATTGTTCTCGATGGTTTCCAGGGGGAACCACGTGGAGGTCGACCTAATAGCGCATATTACTAGCATTGGGGCTGTCAAACTCCATTGCTAACAATCCTTTTCGCCCCTAATAAGTAATTTATTCGTATTATTTTAGCATATAAATAACGTCAAATATTCACAAAAATAGAAAAAAAAGAATTAATAAAAAAAATCAGATAAGTGCATAAAAAATTCACATACATACACACATATACATATACATACACAAATGCATACAAACACCTACACAAATACATAAAAATATACACTCACATGTATACATAAAACACAAAGTTATAAAAGTTTTAGATATCTGAAGATATAGGTATGCTAACCAGACAAATAAAATAATTAAGAAAATGACAACTTGCTCAAATAAAAATCCTTAAGCTTTGTTATAAAACTAGGCAGATATTTTATACTTCGTATAGATTTTTTTTTGTCTCGTGAAAAACAAGTTCGATTCCCCACAGATTGCCGAAAGGAACAGTCCCGAGCTACCTACATTTACTACCTGTAATGTATTCGAGGCTGTCGCTTTATCTAGAGGAGAGTTCTACATTGCGTTTGCCTGTACGGGGTCGCCAGTCAAGAACCTTTCTTTCCAGTCAGTTGTCGAATCTTCGAGCTACTAGAGAGGTTCGACTAGGCTATTGTCACTTCAGATTGCTTATCTTTCGAGCTATATCGGTCACTTTAATTCTTAACGTTTGGATAAACATTTTGACCGCCTCATTGCAATAAAAAAAAATGAGAAATTCCGCTTTTTAGAAAGCATTTCTAATCATTACTTAAATGAAACAACCTAAATTGCTTTTAATCGATTAATTTAAAAATATATACAATTTACTTATCAACCGACTTTAAAAAGAAATAGATTCTCAATACGATTATAATTTTTTTAATGTTTGATATCTCATAACTTCATTGGTTTTAAACCTATTTGGTTTTATTTTTCTGAAAGGAGAGCATATCCTTAAATAACAGTCCCATAAAAATTTGTTTAAAATCGGTTTAGTGGTTTAATTTTTAAATCTTCGAAGTTGTTTTTTTTTTGTGGAACAC